AACCTGGTTGCCGAGTTCACGAAGTGAATTGGCTTGTTTTACAACGTCGTTGCCAAGCGACGAAACCCAATCCCGATGGCAAACACCGGGGGGGGCGGCTTGTTTTACAACGTCGTTGCCAAGCGACGAAAACCCAATCCCGATGGTAAGCACCGGGGGGGCGGCCCCGTCAGGGGGGGCAATAAAAAAAAAACAAGGGTCACCAAAGCTCACAAAATGATCATACTGCACTTTCGGTCACGTTATTTTCTTGCCGAGGGGTGGTTAGCTATGACACAGCGGGGGAGGGGGGGGCAGGAGATATTGTGGCATGTTTTCATCCGCAATATCGACAGGCTTTGGTCAAGGTGTGCAAAACAGCTTTCGCGCCACATTGCTCCAATCGTACTTGTATTTTCACTGCTTCGTGTATCGTAGGGTATCTTCGGGGTGTGGCGCTGCTAGACTGAAATACAGCAGTTCTGGAAAAGACCCCGAACAGCAGTCTACTTTCTCCCACCGTGTGTCATTTCCCAGCCAATCTGCGAACAGCGATTAAGTACTAGGCCAACATGTAGGACGATGATAATGGACGATCAGGGTCAAGATAAACCTCCTCTTGAATTCCCGAAAAAGCGTTGCTACAGCATCGGTATTCATCCCCAAGAAAACCGGCGACACCTTGGGAAGTCTTCCTCCGGGGTCAGCTTCCGGCCGGCCCTCTTGTCTCTCCTGTGTTTTCTCCACTGCTGCTTCCTGAGGGAGAGCCACATGTAAAAGTTATCCTCTATCTTGGGCACCGGCTCGCTGACGTCGGGCAGGCTGCTGGATCCTCTAGCGAAGTAGGCGGATCGCATCAGCTCGATTGTATCCAACGCCTGCTGCGTGGGTGTCGGGGAAGAGGGTGAGGGAGGTGGTGCCGATGTTTCATGCAGAGGTAGCGCGTCGCGAAAGCAATCGATCATGGGGATGAGCGTCACACGTACGTAGGCCGTAAAGGTTCTCCGGTCACAGGCGCTCAAGCCGACTGTTAAACAGCTCAGGCTTTGTTATTCAAGGACATTTATATCTTGACACACATGTCATGACAAACACATACGGGTATCGCTCAAGCAGGGCAAGCTTTCGACCTGTTGAAACCCCTATCATGGCGCGTACGACCCGACCGAGTGTGTGATCTCACCGCCAGAGCTTTTGGGTGATTCAAGCGTCGCCAAGTCATCGTACATTCGACGGGTGCAATACTATCGCACACCATCACCAGCTTCACCACCAGCGTACCTTAGCCTTGTCCTGCAGCTCCGGGGGCCAGCTGGTTCTCGCTGGCCGCGCTTTCATCCTCTGGGGATCGAAGGCCTCGACCGCTTCCTCCACGATAGCCAGGGCCGTGTCTAGCCCCCAGTCCTCCCGCTCCGCATCGGTGCGGTACGGAAGGGCGCAGAGGACGTACGCCGGCCCTTCCCCGCTGGTGATGTTTGTTGCTACTGCCGCCGCCATGATGGTCACTCGGCTAGTGCGAGTACTATGTGTAAGCCGATGCGGCAGCCTCCCTCGCTAGACTGCAGCAGCCAGCCTCCTCGGTATTGGTAAAATTCAGATCGTGATCTTTTGTATCGACGTACGCAGCAAACGAGCAGATGCCTGATGTGCCTGCTGCCAATGCAGGCAAGGTTCTCTCGGCAATAAGGTTGGCCCCAGGACGTAAAGACGACACACAGCCACTTCCTCAGACGCCACAGGGTAGCAGGAGTGCTAACAACCGACACCGGTGGGGTTGGGTCAGTTTGAGGTGAGATCCCACCGAGGCAGTACGTAGCGCACCGCCGTATCGGCGCGTTTGTCCGTCTCTGTCGCGCGTTGTTCGGCCTCAGGTCGAATAGGGAGGTGAAGCGTGTGCACGAGATGGGGTAGATAGAAAGAGGTTCGCGCCTGAGAGCGCTCCACTGCTGCTGCTGGCGGTGTTCATGCCTTGACCTGCAGCCTTGGACAAAAGGAGGGGTTCTACGCCTTATCGCACTGCGAACCATTGCAACTCCTGGTACCACCTGCGTATCCCCCACGATATCTCACTGTAAGACGTTGCCGCTTAGAGCCAGAGGACTGTTGCTGTAGTACAGAGAAGACAGAGAACGTTATGCACGTTGGCCGCCCTGTTGTTGGACGTCCTCCTGACCCGAGTTGAGGCAACGATTTCGGCATTTGTAGGCGCGCGACGAAGTCATGGATGGCTTCGCAATTTTCAGGGAAAAAAAGCGGAAGAAGTCGAAGGCGCCCGCTCTCTCCACGTCGAGACAAGGAGAGGAGGCATTGCTCACGAGCGGGCCTTACGGGTATGGGTCGAGAGCCTTTGCCAAGGTGCGCTTGTTTGCATGTTGCACCCCAAGCCGCTACCTGTGCTATTAGCACGATTCTCTACCGACTGCTGTATGCTATGTAGACCTCAGACCTCACGAACTCTTGCGGTTTGAGTAACAGGCAAGATGGTTGTCCCGCCGAATGATCCAACAGGGGGCCTGGGTTCGCCATTGAGAGACACGCCCTTAGAACTATTAAAGATAAACTTAGTAAGCCCAACCGCATCATGTAACAGGTGGTGGAAACGGTTACTGCTCGGCTCGAGACACGATTAGCCGCGGCCGGGGGAGATCGTGCTGCCGCCGCCGCCGTAGCCGGCAAGGTAAACGAGGTGAGACTTGAACGAGCCCCGAGCCCCGCGTGATGCCCGTTGCACAAGGCTCTTCCATGTACATGGATGGCATCACAACACCTCTTTCCTCCCCCCCTATCCGTGCCCCCCCCCCCTTTTTTGAAGCGGTAGACGAACGTGTTTTCGATTAAAAGTTGACACACAAGGGTGGCCATCGCGATCCTTCCCCAACCTGGGCTTCTTCACACTGAAGGCGGCGCATGATCGGTGTCAGCGCCCGGGTGGAAGTAGCGCTTCTTGTCCCTCCCGCCCTGGTGCCCAAACCACGTGCCCCCTACCCATCCTGTTTGCATGTTTCTTGCTGAACCAATCAGGCATGGCGCGACATGTACAATCGCCCTCTACCATCAGAGGCGGAGGTCATGCACAGGATTTTGACGGTTGCACCAGCGGATGCACGACCCTCGCGGCGTAGCTCGGCGTCATCAGACCTGTGGCGTTCTACTGGTGCTTGGCCGCAGACGGCAAGTCTGCCTCGTAAAAACGAGCAAAGCATCGCAACGGCAGACGCAGCAACAGCAACGCGCACGCCCAAGAGGAAGTTCGTGCTCAAGGCCATTGCAGCGAATAAAAGGCACCGCGTCGGTAGCACGAACGCCGTTGCCGCCGCCAGGGTCAATATGCGCCGCGCGAATACGGCCGCGACGGCTGAGAACGATCCCACAGCGGAAAGAAGACGCGTTGCTGCTGCTCCTACACAGGGAGCAGATGGGAGAGTGTCACTGGCCGCGGGGGCAGGAGCGAGACCAAACAGTGGATCCGGCGAGATTGGTGGGGGCGAGAAAACCGCGGCAGGAGCTCAGGGCCGAGCGGTAGCACAGGGAGGAGGTGGTGGTGCAGAGCCACCGCGGGAGAAGGAGGCAACGAACGGCCCCCGTCTCGAGCAGGCACCACCGTCCTCCTCTGGCTCCGCCACCAACTCTGCTGCTCCCATTGCTACTGCTGCTGCTGCTGCTGCTGCTGCTGCTGCTCCTACTCCTTCCTCGCACGGTGAGGGACGAGAGAAGCAGGTCACGATAACGGACGAGTGTGCCGAGGCAGCACCAGCAGGACAAGGGCGAACAGCACAGGCCGACGGTCGACAGCCAGCCACGGCTATCGGGGATGAACCCGCAAGAGACGAAGAGCGGGGGGCGGATGAGTTTGACCTTGGGCCGAAAAAAAGTTCGAGTTACTGTGGCGTACAGAGTAGCACAATCAGAGGGGGTGACGGGAATCAAGTCGATGGTGGCGGCGGCAGCGGCGGTGGCGGAGAAGGTTGTGGGAGCGAAGCAGGAGCTGACAAACCCAAGGAGGCATCATCTTCTGTTGACGAGGAGGATGGGCGAAAGGAAGAGGCGGACTCTACGGTGCCGGATGTGATTGTGACCGCTAACTACGTTGGCAAGTTCTTGAAGAATAGGACACGGCAGAAGTGGAAGCTGAAGTTGGAGGGTGGAGCAATAGAGGGAGAAGGGCTGGTGTTCGTGTTCGACGAGTGTAATTGCAACCTGGACCCTTTTGAGCCATGACAACAGGCGATTGTGGTCGTGATTGTGGTTGTGGCGGTAGAGTTTGTGTTGTTGTTCGTGAGAGTGCAAACTGGAGCCCGCTCTGGACATGAATAGGTGTTGTCATTGTCGTCGTTGTTGTTGTTGTTGTTGTTGTTGTTGTTGTTGTTGTTGTTGTCCTTGTAGTTGTTGGCTGTGGTGTTGCTGTTCACGTTGCTGGTGCCACTTGTTGACGTTCATGAAGTTTTGTTATGGTCCCATATAGACGCTGATGTGACGTGAACTGGAGTGCTTGGCGCCCACGGTGTACAAATGGAGAGGCGTTGTTCTTCAAGAAGAAAACTAGTTTGATCTTGCAAGCTGTCCTCTCTACCACTGTACTCGGTTATCCCGCTTCCCCACCATGAAGAGACCGACCAGTCTGAAAGTTCTTATTTTTTGGTTCCCTCCCGTGGTGTTTGTTGTACGGTGCCCACCGTTTTCACTGCTACGCCGGTAAAACCACGCACCCAGCGGTAAGCAGACGCTCTGGTGTGTCGCTGCTGACTGTCTTCGATATTTGTTCTCTTCCCAAAACGTAGCACCCACTGATTCTGACCGTCCTTGTAGGACCGCCAGATTGTCCAAGCTTGATACAGGTATGCAAACGGTTGTTGTGTCGTGAGCTACATACCATAACTGTTTCGGCCAAACCTTCCCCAACCTCCCTTGACTATGTTTTGCCTATTCCCCGGATCGAGAGAAGGGGGCGAAGGGTAGGCACAGCTGGGCCTATATTTGTTTGATGGACTTCCTTACTGAGTTGTCCTGATTGGTTTGCCGTAGATGGCAGCGATTATCACGCGGGCTGATACCTAATCGCCGTATATTCGGTGTGATAGGTGCAATGCGTGTATTTGTGGGGGGGGAGGCTCGTTTCTTGGGTAGAAGTTGTCGACGAGTCTGCGACCGAGGAACGTTGTGGTTGAAAGAAGAAAAAGAGTGATGAAAACGTTCAGAACCTATTAATGTGGTCCAGCAGTAGTTAGGTTAGCGATACACCGCTGAGGGTGGTCCTGCGCTGGTGCTACAAAGCGCTTGGTGCGTTGCGGCTGGAGACAGATGCTGTCTCAGCATGTACCGGCCCAGTTGTACTGTGACCTGGCCACTGCACCAGACCACCGCTTCTACTATTTTACCGACAATTCTGAAGCTGTAAGCTTCAGCCTCTCCGACCTAAAATCATTTTTGTCGCAGACCCTCTTCCTTTAATTCCCCCACCCTTGCCGGGGTGTGTCCAAAAGCCGATCTCCATCTAAGGCGCACGTCTCGCAACATGTCGACCATGCCTCGGTAGGGCGTCGGAAATCTTGGCCCCTCGACAGGTTCCGTCGAATTTCGGGCCCTGTAGCGTACGCCACAAGTGCGCGGCCATGTGCGACCTTGCGCGCTGATTTACTCTCGTCTCCACCCCGTTTCGCCGTGTGGCTCTTTTGGTCTTGAAAACAAATTCGGAAAAAATCGAATCTCAGGGTCCGCTTGGCAGTAAACAACAGCCCGATCTCGACCTACAACGCACGTCGAGCGATATCTTGAGAATGCCTTTGCAGAGTATCGCGTGTCATGGACCCTCGCCGACTTTCATCCTCCGCTCGCAGTAGCATACACCACAATAATACAAAGGTACGACCATGTGTTTCTCTGGTTCGCCGTCTTCCAGTCTATATTATTTTTCTGACAGTAGCACTCAACAAAATTCATCTCTTCCACAGATCAGAGTCCGGGATAGAGTAGCAATGATTCATGTGTTGCACCTGCTTTATCTTCTCGAACAATTTCATGATACCGGCGGAAATCGAATCTCAACGTCCTCTTGGCAGCAACCAACGGTAAAATGAAAGTGTGTGTAGGTCGAGTGAGCTTCCAACGCGACTTGTGCCAAAAAAACATGATACGACGAAAGCGTATACGGTGAGTCGACGAGCTAAACAAGTTCCACGCTGCGCCAGAAGTGTGCTACCATGGGCGCTGTCCCACTGTTTCGGTGCTGTATATTGACCGGTTCGCCTATCATCTTCCTTTCTCGATCGCTCTTTTGGCTTCTCGAACTATGTCGCAAAAAATCGACTGTCGGAGTCGGCGCGGCAGCAACCACGGCATCATGTTCACTTCAGAGGTGGTTTAGAAATGAAAATGTGCGCGGGCCGAGTGAGTTACCGACGCGACCTCTAGTAAGAAGGGCCAGAAGTCATGGCACGACGAATGCGCATACGGACGCTGATGGGCCACCATGCTGCATGCGTCCGGGAAGTATGCGACCAAGGAAGACCATGCGTGCTATTACTCTCATCTTCACCGGTTCGCCCTCGTGCCATCTCCATCGCATATTTTTTCATCTTGCATCTTGTTGAATTTGAATGAAAAACACGTGTTGAAAAAGCTATCTCATCTAGGGATTCGGATGGAATCATTCGACCATCTACTATCAAGTATAATTAGGAACCGAAAACGGTGTCATCATTACCAACAACAGTAGATGTTGTTCGTTGTTCGATATATTTTGTGCCGTTGTATTGGTTATCACAATTCGGCCTGTGGCCACGGGTAGTAGATAGTGTGACTGACACGGTTTGAAGGTATAGTGACTGGATGACTGAGCAAGCGACCGGACGACTGCATGATATTGGACCACAACACCGAACGGTAACCGGCGAATCTCTCTACATGTAGTGGCGACACCCTTTCTCTTCCACAGACAAGAGTCCGCGGTAGACTTCCTATGGGCTTGCAGTGTTGAACGGTGACCAACTTATTTTTTTATGGTTGTTCCCCGAGCACCTGCTGTCCCTCTTTTTTGGTTCCATTCGCCATCGGGTAACCTGTCAACAACGAAGTAAACTCAGCCAGCAGCCAAATACACCCGCCATAAACAAATCAGCTTCAAACAGGCAACGCCAACGATACTCGTCGCGTTGATCTCTCACAATAGCAATGTTGGGGTGGCATGGTTTACCGCGATTCAGCTCTATAATGTCGAAAGATCGCAGGAAAGAAAACTCATTCCACATCCCCTGTCTGGTACATACCGTCAGGTTTGCACCAGAATGGTACCTGCTCAGAGCGGTCTGTCGCTTACAACTGTGTTTTCTTTGCGCCAGTCATCGCGAGGAAAAATCTCAAACTCGTCTCTCTCTCGCCGCCCCCCGCCCCCACGCAGTTTTTTCCTCGCCGTCCCGCCCTCTCGCATATCGCGGCCCCCCAAAAGCGTGCCGTTTTTCTCCGGTTTTTATGCAACACATCAACAAACACGCCACCCATCCCATACGTACACCAGACCGACTCTCAACCGCGTCAAATAGCAGTACAAACCAAACGTTTTACAAATAATAAGTCAATATTGCGCGAAAAAAAACGTGCCAGACTGCAACACGACATCGTAGGAGGAGCACGTCGGAAAAAAAGGGAGAAGCAATTCGATTTCCCCAGTATTGATCGGCCTCTTCCGTCGGTTCGTAGTTGAACCGCATGAGACACCCTTCAGTATTGGAATATGATGCACTCCGATTTAGCTTCAACATCGGATGCCATGTCGTCATGAGCCAACAAACGGGGGGGGGGGCGGGAGTATCATACAGCAGACCACACTATGGCACGAGAGCAAAAAACAAAAAGCAACGCCGGATTTCACCAAATCGGCTCCCGCCCGCCGAATCGTCTTCTGCTACGTCTGCCTTTGTTATTAACAGAAAAGAAATACAACGTTTACCCTGTGTGTCCCGCATCCTCGTACCAATACACGAACGCAATGTTTTATTGAGAAATATTGAAAGCCAGCGAATACAACCACATTTACTGAAGCCAAGCTTCAAGAATGAAAAACGACAGTTAACCCGCCAAACATTTCCGCGTGAAAGTAGTACTTCACAGTCCTAGACATCATAGACGAAGCCTACAGTAAGCCAGGCGACTCTATAGATGAACAAATTCGCCCCAAAATCGACTAGGTCACGCGTCGAATCGCTGTGGCGCGAACCTCGTCGCCCTCTCTTGTAACTGCACGCGCATTCAGCGCTCTGATCAGGGCGACCCCGCTAGAAACCATCAACCGCCCCACCCTCTCTCTCCACGCCGTCGTGCCTATTGCTTGCAAACCCGTTCGGCCTCGTCCTTCCGCGAACAGAAGGAAAAAAGACAAAAGTCTATCTTACGCTGAAACCTTTACCCCCCCCCCCCTACACCCACTCTCCACCCGGCACACGCCCCCCAACCTTCCAGAAATAAAAAAAATACATCTGACCCTCCCCTGCGGGCGTGAACACTCGCGTAAACCCGTCGTGTGCGGATGCAGCGTCATCTGCAGCTGCGGGTGACGTTCCGCTTTGTTCCGTGGAGAGATAAAACCCATGGAGAAGTGCCCCAAACACAAATTTCGTCTAGTTGGCCCCACAGACAGCTATGTATGGTGATACAGCAGTAGCTCTGAATGCGATGATATCCAGCTTGCCTGGATGATGCAGGGCTGCCTGCCTGAAGAACATCCGAACAAGGTTTCTTCCCGTCGGTTACGTTAAGACGGAAGCCACGAGGTTCGCAACAACGACCGATGTTGTGGGGTCGGTGTTGCTTCGAATTAAGTTCGACACCCCCGGGAAAAAAACACAAGTACTCGCGGATAAATCCATACGATTATTGCTGAACAGCACGCCACTTACCCAAAGCACGGGATGATGCCATGATACCGCTTGGAAAACAGTGGTTCGGAATAACAATATTTCAAGTCTGGAAAGAACCGTTGTCTAGATGGTCATGGCCATCACCCCATTTGCCCTCCAAAAAAGAAGGGTGTGTAGAATACGATTACCACCTCTCAACCGCCGATATCTCGGGTGCTCGTAGAATACAATCTCATGTAGACCAAACCGCGCCATGTCGACAAAACGAACACTCTCAACCCTCTCCTACTGTTCTCAAGAGGGATCGGCCTTCTCGGGGGGCATGACAAACCCATCGTTAACAAAGCAGGCCGTTCTACACGCTAGCGCCTCCTCTCTATAGTGAAAAAAAACTCAAAACAACACAACACGCAAGAGAGGAACGCCTTCAACTATCGTCCTGCCGCCTGCGCTTGTGCGCGGCGCCCACGAGAACCCCTCCCCCGGCACCACCCCCGCCCCTTGAAGAACCGGCTACAGCAGCAGGGGCGCCTGAAGGCTTCACCTTACCGCCGCCGCTGCCGCCGCTCCCGCGAGACCTGCCTCTAGCACCACCGCCGTCGCCGCCGGAGTCTCCGCCCACACCAGCGGTGGCTCCGCCGCGCCCTCTCTTCATCCCGCAAGACTCAGACGCGGACGACGACGTCCCGCCGTCCATCATCCTAAGCGCCTTGTCGGTCCTGTCCGCCAGCGCGGCCAGCGCCTTCCTCAGGAGCGCCAGCTCCGGCACCGCCACTACGGAGCTGACGCAGGGCTCCACGAGCGCCGCCGCGGCGGGCTGGTGCACGGGCCACAGCCTCCACGGCTGCAGCTTCCACGTGCCGCGCTCTGCCGCCAGCGTGCCCGTCGGGGCCGAGACGTTGGTGCGCGTGCGGGTGCGGGACGACCCCGGCCGCGAGGACGTTGTCGTCGGGGCCTCGGAGGCCGCGCCGGACTCGGTGCCCGAGGAACGGACCGCGGAGGAGCCGTTCGACCCCCCCCCCTGTCCGCGGCACGGGGAGCTTCCCCTCGGGCCTCCCGTAGTCCCGCCGCCGGAGGTTTTCGAGTCGGCGGCGCCGTCGCTGGCGCCGCCCGTCCCGTTCTCGGGGTATCGCCTGACGGATCTCGACGCGAGTTCCACGGGAGAGGCGGTCCGCCCGGCTTCCTGGATGGTCAGGCACATCGCCCTCGCAGCCGTGGTGTGCTGCGGGGCGCGAGGGAGTATTCCGAGGCAGTGGAGGATGGGGGGCGCGTCAGGAGTATGTCAACAGGTCGCGGCTGGTCCAACCGCGAGGGTGTCGGGCCGGCCAACAACGAGGAGGCACCAGAGGTGAGCGTGAGAGCAAAGTCATGTCCAATACGGCGGGGAACAACAAAGGCAACTCGAGGCGGCGAGGCGGCTACGAAAAGCAACAACAACAACCACAACCTCAACAGGGAGATATCGCTATGTGCTGCTCGGGAAAACGTGGAAATACAGGTAGCAAACGCTGACGCTATGGATTCATCGCTAGTCTAGCTTAGACTCTTTTCAATAGATAAGTGATGGATTCGTTGGGTCATATTAGGAAAATAAAAAAATCGAAATGAAACAGGGTGGTAAACGTTGAAAGGCATGCGCAACGAACAAAGCGCAAACGCACAGGTAGCCAACCTCGGCACGCCGTGCCGCACCACGCTTCACCACACAGCAACACAAGGCTCGACCAGACCCTGCCAATACCACCACCACAGCACGCAACGCACCTCGTCTTCGCCCAGCCCGAGGAGCGACCGAACCTGCAGGCGCAGGCGGCAGGCGGCGATGATCGCGACGCAGAGCCTCTCGGTCGTGTCCACGGGCCTCCCAGGCAGCTTCGCCTCCGTGCTCAGCAGCTTGATCGCCTTGTGGAACGGCACCTGTTCCTTCCGTTTGACCGCCGTCGTCGAGTCGCCGATCTCCCCCCGCACCTCCCCGTTCCGTTGGCTCCCGCCACCCCCGCTACGGCCGCCCTTACCCCCGCCGTCGGCGTCGCCTCTGCCGCCGGTGGCCGCCGCCGCCGCCGCTGCCACAGCCGCGCGTTTCGCGCTGCCGAACAAGCTCACGGCCGCTGCACAGGTGTCGGAGGTGGTGGCCGCGCCGTCGGGGCCCAGGATCCCCTCGATGGTCTTCACCCAGCCCGCGCAAGCGTCCACGATCTCGCGGAGACTCTCCAGGGTCTGCTCCGGCGCGCCCAGCTCTTCCCCGACGCGGATCAAGTCCCCGATGTAACTGAGCGAAGGGCGCTCGTTCCAGCCCGCCGGCAAGAGGGAGGACGGCAGGGGGGCCTCGTCCTCGTCCACGGGCATGCTGCTGCCGCTGCTGTTGCTGAGCTGCAGGTCCTCCATTTCTTCTTCGCGCTCGGCCGCGCCGTCGCTGGACGACGAGAAGTCGGCGCCGTTCGCCGGCCGCGGCCGCACCGAGTCGCCGTCGGCCTTGGCCGAAGAAGGCTGCGCCTCAAGCTTGACCTTGCCGCCGCCGGTTCCGTTCTCTCTCGGCAACTGGGAAGCTCCGTCTTCACGAGAACTACCTCCGCTGCCCTTAGCACCCTTGACCGATCGGAAGCTGTTCACCAACCCGCCGCCGGTGCTCCTCGCCGCCGCCAGCGCTAACCTAGCCTCCTCCACCCACGTCTCCGTGTACTCCTTGCTGGAGGTAAGGTCCTTGGCCGCCCTCCGGAGCTGCGCCTCGTCCTTGCGCTGGTAGAACGTGTACTCCGAAGCCGGGCACGCACACAGCTCCGCGAGGTGTCGCCCGCAGGCGAACCGCCGCCGCTGGTGCCGTCTTCTCGCAGCCGCCGCCGCTCCACCGTCGCCGCTCGGGCTGCCGTCGCTGCCGCCGCCGCCACTGCTCGCGCGCGCGGGCGCGCCGCGCCCCGACCCCCCGCTGTCGCACATGTCGCACACGACGGCCGTGAGGAAGCAGTACTGGTCGCAGACGCTGCATTGGGGGCCTCGCACCGCGCTTCCGGTTGCTAGGCCTTCCAGGATGCCGCCGCGACCACTAGCGCCTTCGCCGTCAGCGCAACCGTTGCCCTTGCCTCCGGAGGTGGAGCTGCTCCGCCTTACTATCGATGTTACCGCTGCTGAGGCTTCGGTGGATGCCGTTGCCTTGCGGCCCCCGTGAAGGCGCTCGACCAACTTGAGTGCGAGGGTTTCAACAGACGGGGGCGTATGAAGGGGTCGGTCAAGGAATGACGAAATAATGGATATTCTAGCCTAACCCCGCGGAGACATATGCCCTCTCTCTCTGTCTCTCTCTCTCTCTGTCTCTCTCTGTCTGTCTCTCTCTCTCATCTCTCTCCACAAACTCACTGTGATCGAACTAGACGACTCGAGGTTATTTTTTTCCTTTCAAAGCAAAGCTCGCGACAGCAAAACCAGACCTTCTCCATAGGCTCGAAACGAGTGCAGCCCATTTGTTGTGCCTGCTTTGTCATCTCCTCCTGGTGTGTCGCCAGCACCGCCAGCTCGTCTCTAAGGAACCTGGCGCAACAATGAGGAGGTGTGAAGCCGTCGTTCGTGGCAAGGGGTCGGACGTTTGGTAACGAACGATGCGGATTCTTGTTCCACTACACCTTAAAGCAAGGACGCGTCGATCGACAAGTTTGTTACCCTTGAAGACGGGAGTACGACGGCCATAATAGCGACATGTCACAAAAACCCAAGCCGTGATTGTACTAGTGTACCAGGATGCAAAAAAACTATTGCGCGTGTGAGCACAATGGCAAGCGATATGTCACAGAATTCCGTGCCGTGATCAATCTGTTGCAGGACACAACAATTCCCCGCGTCCAAGAGGAGGCCCAGCCTTCGTCATTTGTTGCAGGCCATCGGTTGAAATGCGACGGCTATCCAGTGCTGGAGATAGCGCATGCTCGTGGGAACACCAAATGGAGGAGTGGAAGATTGCTCGACCCTCTTCGAGTGAACGTATCAGCATGCACTTTAGAGAAAACCTCCGTGTGAACCCCGATCGGAGTTCCTGCTGGACAACACCTGATACCGGGAGAAACGGGGTGGTAACCTTGTCAACGCAAGAAAAACTGAGCTGGTACAGCGGGTACTAACAGCCTTGTAAAAGGACTGATAGCGATGCACAGCTACTACGATGAAGTCAATGAGCAAGACCGGGGCATGTGCTTGCAATTGAGCGCTCCTTGAACAATTCTCACTGTGAGTTATGCGGAAGATACAAGGCCCTGAGCAGGGTCGGGGGGGTGGGATACATGCTTTCAAATGAGCGTTCCTTGCAAAATCCTTGCTGTGAGTTATGATTAAGATACGAAGGCCATGCATGGGCAGGGGCTGGGGTGCTATCAATCAAGCGTTCCTCGAACAAATTTTGCCCGTGACTCGTGCGTCAGATGCCAAAGGAGACGAGAGGCGCGAACCTCGTCAGCTCTTCCGAGGCGTGCACTCCATCGCCGGCATTCTTGGCGAGGATGTCCACCAGTGACAGCACCAGGCCCTCGTGTGAAAACACCGGCTTGCGCTTGTGGAGGCGGTAGCGCTCCTGGGCCGCGTTGCCTGCGCACGCGCGCGCGCAAGGGCAATAACGACAGGATCGGGAGCGAGAGGGCGAGAGTTTCCTACATTAGCTCAACTCACACCGCCGGCCTTNNCCCCCCCCCCCCCCTCCCTCCCTCCCCCCAACGAGGCGCATAGTAATGATAATCACCCACATCCACACAGAGAAGACAGAAGAAACGGAGATAAAACCGGACACACGGCACGGCCACCTCCTACTCCATGTCGCCCGTGATCGTGGTGGCGCGAACACACTACCACTATTTACTACAGCACTGCTGTGGTACTCACCCCACGGTATCCAGTCGGGAGGAGCAAAATTTACGGCCTCCGCGCAGTTGGTTCCCATGTTGAACCCGGCGTGGTAAGCCTGTGGACGACGGCATCAAGAGGGAGGGCGTCAAGGGCATACGGGGCGTGGTGTGGAGATAACAGAGGTGAGCCGACGCGGAACTCCAGTAGGACAGAGGGGGGTTGAATCGGCCAGCGTGCCTGTGGCTATGCTGCAAGAAACGTGACAGGCTTGCTCGATAGACTCTTGCGTCAGAGTGCTGCCTGCGCCCCTGCCGTAGTCTGACCTCCCTTCGCCATCGATGCTTGCCGCACAAAGCCTCGCCGAACTTGCCGCGGGTTTCAACCCACAAAAAATCGATACACTACGGACAAAACAGGGTTTTCGCCTGATTGAGAGCGGAGTATACGATTGAGAGCGGGAGCCAAAAAATTGAAATTTTGGGTCCAGACGCCTCTTGCCATTTCTTGGAAAGTAGGGGGCGGGCTCTTCCAAGAAGCGGCGCAAATTGAAGGTCTCATCAGCAGCGTCACGAGCATATGCGTGTCATCGCGATCGGATGCTGCAGCTAGGAGCTAGACAAGTTGCTAGATTTCCCCAGATTGGCTATTCCTGCCTCAAACTGTTTCAGGGCGATTTGATCGCGGGCGGTGAGCTCTGCTGTAGATTCTGCTCCCCGCTGTAGCTCCACAACGAGAGACGCCCACAGGATGACCAGGGTATCGGCTTGTAGCTACGGGCTAGGCCTTCAATTCAAGTCACGCAGCAAGCTCCACCTCTCAGCGGTAGTCCAGCTACAGCGCATCGCGCAATCTCGCTCTCAATCAGAAACTTCGCTCTCAATCACACGAAAACCTTGTTACAAGTGCTCCTCTCAACCAGCGCAGAAACATGACAATGAGTTTCTCCGCCGACAAACTTGATCTGTCCCTCGCGAGGATGACGAATGCATCTCGTGCCCGCACCGTCTACCCTGGGGGATGACTAGACAGCTTCCCCTCGCTCCCACAGGGTGGGCTGCCTGCTTGCAAGGGGCGACTGGATATCTCTGCCCTTCAGGTGTGTTCTGTGTGTGCTAGATAAGGCTGTTGCCGCTTCGGTGCCATAGCGCAAACGCACGATCCAGCTATCCACGCTTAAACCGGAGGCTGGTGTCATGATGTGTTCTTTGCACGCAATTGGGCACAACGACAAATCGTGTGCGTGTGCGTGTGAGGTTTTTGGGTGTTACAGGTAGGGGTGTTAAAGCGGCGGAAGTTGGGGCCAAAAAAACGTCCGGTCCATTCGGCAAAATTTGAGGGGGGCACGCGGATTTGGTTCGTTTTTGGTTCTCGAGAATCCCGCTGTTGATACTGATTAACTATACATCAAGTCAATTTGTTTGTACAGGCAGCTCTGCGTCCAGACAGCAGCATGGCTCTTCATGCGTTACACACACCTGGACATAGGTCCAATAGAGGTAACTGTAAGCTCGGTTTTCTCTTCAAGTTAAACGACGGACGAACAACACCAAAAGACATGTTTTTTTGGGCTCTTTGCTCCACGCCCAAGGCGACCGTTGCTCCTCTCGACAAAGCGAGCTTACAGCCCTCTACCTTGGGTTTACAGCTATACCACACAACAAACCGCATCCGAATCGCATCAGCCAACCACGAGATCTACTTGTCTGAAAACGGCCCCTCCAGGGGGGCTGCAGTGCCCACACCAGCAGACCCTCCCAAAAAAAAAATCGAGGTCCGCGCCGTTCGGCAGCAGGAGGCGCGCTGCGCGAAAGCTGAATCAACACAAAACGAAGTTTGAAGAGAGGACAGGGCAGTGTATGGTTGCCACGTCAGCAGAAGATAACACGCGGCGCGCTATCGAACGCGGCAGCCTCACCGTCGTAGCGAGAACGCTGGAGGAAACGAAGGAGGAGTTGGTCAAAAGTAATAAAATTGTGGAAGAGAGCCAGGCTCAACCTCGCTGCCGCCGCCGCCGCCGCCGCTGCTGCTGCTGCTGTTTTTTTCAGCAGCAGCAGCGGCGGCGGCAGGTGTCTGCGTGGCTTCACCGCCCGGCTGCTGCTCGGGTGTGTCATGAGGCATGTGTTGTAGAGTGGGACCGCGCAATGGTGTTGTGCTGTGCCACATAGCAGGGCGCAAAGCACACAGGCGAGCCGCGCCCTCGCGCGTGTGCGTCAGAGGGTCTTTTCGGGAGGTTCCGACGGTTTCGTGCAATTGCATTGGTTGGTCGATTTTCCATCAGCAAGATCCGAGGACGCTTTTTCGAATTTTTTCCTATAGGAAATTTTCCGCTTTGACACCACTAACAGTGTTTCCTTGCTGCTTGATAAAGATTCAAGAAACAGTTGAATGTGTGTGGGGGTTTTACTGTTATCTTATTTTTCGTTTTGGGGGACTCAATACATCGACGGCACGCACCTGCGGGAAGGTCAGCACGAACTCCCCCTCCCTCTGGGTGGTGGAAGACACGGGGACCCCTCTCTTAGACACCTCCGTGGGATGCGCCATCGTCACCTTTGAATCGATGACATCACAGAGCATCACAGAGCATCACAACATCACAACTGCCTTCAGAAGCGCGCACTAGTCTATGTACGCAAGTTTTCGAGGTAACCAAGCATACTGGATAAAGCATAGATCGGCTACGTAGGGGATAAGGGTTAGGGCATGTGGTGATTTTTCGAAATAAACTGTCTTTCTTTGCCAAGGCAGTCCTCTCTCTCTCTCTCTCTCTCTCTCTCTCTCTCTCTCTCTCTGTCCCTCTGACTCTCTCTGTGTGTGTCTCTTGTCCATCTCTCTGTGTGTCTGTCTCTGTCTTCCTCTCTCTCTGTCTCTCTCTCTCTGTCTCCCTCTCTCCCGAACAGTACCATCTACAAACTACAATACACACTAGGCTTACCAGCTGCATGAGCAGGTCAGGGTGCGCCTCGAACAGCTCGGGAAACATGAGCTGCACGGTACTCTCGAACTTCTCGGCCATCGATCCCGGCACGCCGTACCATCTCTTTGGAGACCCTGCGTGCAGGTAGTTGATCGAGTACAGGTAGTGGTCCTCGTTGTGCCAGCAGAAGGCACTGCAACGCACACGTACCGACGGAAGAGGGGAAGGGCCGGTAGCGTGGGGGAGGTGGGTTTGGGCAGCAGTAGCCTTCGTAGTGTAAATCGATTCAATAAAAACATGTTGGATATGAGGAAGCAATCGGGAAGTTGGGATTAGGGTTTTAAGGGACAGGTCTGCGTACCCCCACCCTGTTCTATTTCCTGATGAACCTTCATTTCTCAACAAGGCGGTCCGGGTTTGGGCTCAAGTAGGCGGAGCTAGCTGCCCGCTCATTTCAAAGGCAAACAGCCATGCATGGTACCCGTACTTCACCGTCCTACGACACTACTGCTGTGCATCGCATGGACCACGAGCAAGAGAGCAAGAGAGCAAGGCAGGCACCGCTACCACCCCCACCAACGGCCTCGACGATAACAACACAAAAGAAAACACACCAACACAAACCAGCATCGCTATCACTGTCCATCTGGCGGAAAGGCGGCTGCTCAGGCGCGTAGCCACGCCCAGCGAGCGCGATGGGCGCCTTCAGCGCCAGACCTTGCCTTGCTGCGGCTGCGGCTGCGCACAGTATCCCGAGGAACCGGTGGGCTGGAGCTCAGAAATCACATCAGTAAAAGAGGGTGCCGGTGATGAGGCTGGCAACAAATATTCGCTCTTGCATCCCGACGAGCGGGGCAGGGTTGCTCGAAGCAACGCACTCGCTGGCGGCGTTGCCTGTCCGCTAGCGGCGAACTTGCTTCTCGTAATTCCTGCCCATCGTACAGCTGCCGTTGATATCCGCGCCCGAGAAACTACTCCGATTTTACTGGCAACACCCAAGGCGCGTCTTGATCCACCCCAGTAGTCTATGCATTTCTCAAGTAAGCAAACATGCTGGATGAAGTATAGAATTGGCTAGGTTTAGGGCTTAAGTCTGCGTGGCCCCCTCCCCGGTCATTTTTCGTAATAACCTCACCTTCTTCAGGCCTCCACCCAACCTTGCATCGTTGCGTAAACGCCGCCCTCTCTCACCTGAAGGCCATGCCCACGTAGAGCCAAGGCACCATCACTCCCTGGATCTGAGTCCCCAGAAACTGAAGCAAGGACCCGTCCGAGGTTGGCAGACAATTCAGGTTCCAAGCGTCCTGCTCGTAGGAGTGACCCTGAAAGAGCGGTAGCCAAGCGTTTCGGCCCCCCAGGGGGGACGAAGAGTCGGCGATGAAAATGAGTCTGGAACTTGAGAAGTCGTCGGGTCATCAGGTGATAACGATAATAACCCTGCACTTCATGCACACTTCGTGCCATGGCTGGAAGGAGAAAATCGTCAGCACGTGCATCGCACCACAACCGAAAAACACCGGCGGATTATTACCCCCGAAGAAGGATGATTCGGCGGGATGGCGCTGGGTGGATCCCCCTACACCAAGTGGCTACAATCGTTTTCTTTGGGGGCTGCTACCCGCCTACTGCTGCAGACAGCTCCGAACGCGACTCTTGAACTGTACCTCGACTGCTACTGCCCACACCTGCTCGCACCAAAAGCGCGATTGACTTTCAAACTGCCTCAAGAAGGACAGAGCCTCTCCCGCCGCCGCGGAAACCCTACCTCGTAGCTTGTGTGGTCCCATTCGCGGGTCCCCGGCCCTCGCCTTGGCTTCCGACGCTCAGTCTGTAACACGGCCCAGATGGACGATGGTCAGCATCGTGTGGTCCTTGGAAGGTTGGAGATAGTCTACTAGATGCTGCTGCTGCACACAATTTTTTAAGCGAGAGCCTCCGGTAGCGCCAGCGGCGGCTTAAGTGCGGGTAAACATTTCGATGACTACTTCTGGTTCCCCCTCTTGTGAAACGTAGTCAGGGCGGCGGCGAAAACCCGGCATATCGTTCCGTCCCCCGGCATTGTAGGTCAATGGTCTACAACGACTACGGGGTGCGTGTACATGGGCACACCTCCCCTCCTACAGCACGAAACCACTTTCCCGTACCAACAACAAAATAATCGCCCACTCCAACAACAGAATACTTTCCCGCCCCAACAACAAAATACGTCAAGCACACCTCCCCGCCCAAATCACCTGCTCAACCCCCGCCTTCCCGGGCGCCGCCACCGCCCCGCGTGTCCAGGGGAACCCGCTGCCCACCGCTCCGGTGTCAAGGTCACTCCCGTAGAGCACCTGGGGCAGCACGGGGGGAGGTCAACGGGCAGGGCAGGTAGCGATGCTGAACGGACGAGAAGTTTTGACCATGTTGCAACACGCCATTTCAACATCCCAATACTTGGAACCACCCTGTTGGAGCATATCAGGGCCGTTAGATACCGATGTGAACATCGCAATGGTGCCTATACTTCCAAATAGAATGACAGCACCGCAGCGAGCGTAACTTTTACTTCGAGGGCGTAAAAGACAGCCCTTCGGCCCTGCCAAGAGGAAGCGCCGCTTCAGGTCCAACTAACTCCGTGCCAGCCCTTGCGCACCACAACCCCCCGGGCCCGCAAGCGCAGCAGGCAGAACAACCTACGTAAAAAAACGAAGGGTGCGCCCCGCTGGACACGTCGCGACTGACACCACCCCCTCCCCCCCCATCCACCGGCCCCCCGCCGCAGCCCCACTACCACCACTGCCATCACCATCACTGCTGCAAGTCACTACCCCTCCACCGAGCTAACCTAACGTCCGCACCTTCACGTCTTCTTCTGGAGGGTCCGGCCCCACCAGCTTCCAAAACTCCGCCTCCATCTCCGCCTCCGTGGCTTCATCCCCGAGCCCCCTTCGGGCAAGGTAGCTCGACCGCCAGCCATCCGCCATCAACGCAAACTCCTTCGAGATGGGGGGGGGGAGAGACGGGGGGTGGGGGGGGCATGGGGCGCGACCACGTGCGTGGGAGGTGGGGCTTGAAGCGCCAAGCCTGCACGATCGTACAAGGCTCCAACCAAACCTCCTGAACGGGTGGGTTGCGGTCTCCCAAAACACCACAGACACTTCCGGCAACGTGTGCGCACTGTTTGTTTCGTTAAACCGCCGGAATTTCTTCAGTTCCCGTAGACCACAGCAAGACCGCGGACACTTACATATCCACAAAATAAAGTATTGCTGTCGACCGCAAAGAACAAGGGAGGCTACCCGTCGCACCCACCCCGGTTCCCTCAAAAACCAATGACGAACCACCAACGCAAAACAGGGGTCCCCAGGGAAAAAGGGCGCGTTGCAACGATATTCCCCCTGGGAGGCGGCGGCTTTTCCAGGCAAGGCACCAACACATCGATCGCTCTCTGAACGGGAGGCGTCACGCCTCGCCGTCCCACGGAAACCCTTGACCCAACAGCGGTCACCTTCAAAGTGAAGACGCCTCCGTTGCCGAACCCATATTTGAGGGCCCGTCCGTTCATGCGCGACACCCCTCGCATGCGGGCCGCCGAAAGGCTGGCGCCGCATTCCGCAACCCCTCCCTCGCTGGAACTCCCGTCCTCCTCTTCTTCCTCCTTCTTGGGCGTATTCAAGGTCACTGCTGCGGCAGCGGCGGCGGCGGCAGCACCCGCGCCGTGCTTACCTGCGGCCGTGCTAGTCGCCGCCGCGGGGCCCCCTCTGCCACCGGCCGGCAACTTACCGTTCTCCGCCCGTTTTCGTCGAGGAGACACAGCCTCCCCCCGCTTGCTCGTCCCTACCGAGCCATTCCCGACGGCAGAGGCCGGGGCACGCTGCTTTTCAGGGGTCGCCGCTGAGGCATCGCTCTCGCCGGACCTACCGGGGGTGTCGGCCGCAGGAGCGGAGGTATCACTCCCCTCCGCCGCCGCCGCCGCCGTCGCCGCTGCTGCTTCCACCGCCGGCAGCTTGGCCGCCGAAGGCGGCTTCGAGATCGAGCCCGCTGCCACGTGCTTGCTCGTCTTCTTCGGGGAGGGCGAGGACACGAAGGGGAGCGAAGGGGAAGAGGTGGAAGAGGAGAAGAGCCCGCTGGGGCCCCTGGCTAGATCCTCCGCGGTGTTCCCGTCCTGTCTCGGTTGTTGCCGAAGCACGAGGGTAGGAGCGGTGTGTGTGCCACAGAGGTGGAACGCGGGGAAGAAGCGGAGGACAGAAGAAAAGCGTGGTGTTTGGGGGGGTATTGAATTCGTTCGAAATTCCTGGTCAGTAGCAATCAAGCGATACAGGCCTGTGTTGGGGGGCGGTACGCATAACATAAGAGACAAGGAAGGAGCCCCTTCTCAAGGGTCCGATGACGACGCAGCACGTCTCCTCTGCTACATCGAGAGCACTCCTCCACGTCGACCCCAAATCAGCCTGACGCCGCCTTCGGCTATCACAATAGTACCTCGTGCCCGCCCTCTTGCCGCCCAGAACCTCCTCTCAATCCTTCCGAACAACGACCACATAATAGTCAACCCACATCACAGCCGACACACACCACAGCCAACACATATCACAACCACAACACCACATCGTTAAGTTACCGTTGCGCAATCCCCGCAGAACCAGTCGTGAAAAGGCATCCTGGGCAGTGCCGGCTCCACGCACCCCAGGTGGTAGGCGCTGTCGCACGCGACGCAAACGACGAGAACGTTCTTCGAGGCCGCCGCGATGCTGCACACCTCGCACACAACCCCGTGGGCCGCGAGCTTCGCGGCCGCGGGGGACTTTCCGTTGAGGATCAAGGTGGACAGCTGGGTCTTCGGCAACGTCACCCGGAAAGGCTCCACCTGTGGGTTGGAGTTTAGGGCAAGGGCGGGAAGTCGGTTGGAGGGCGCTCGGCAACATCACGCGGAAAGCTTCCACCTGTGCGTGGGAGTTAGGGCAGGGGGAGCCGATTCGAGGGTGAGGGGTCCGTGGGTGCACGAGCAGAGGAGGTATGCTGAAACACGACGGCGCTACTGAACTGATGCAGTCCCTGGGGTGTGGTGCACCAAGGGAGGAGTTTGCCAACCCCGCGGGAGGCCGCTGCCCTTCTCTCACGATGAAAGCGTGCAATGTGCTTTTGGGTTGGTTCTAGAAATGCTCCATGAGTCAAGCTATACACAGACTACGCAGCACGAAAAACAAAGTCTTCACCTTATCCACAAAACACCACTAACAATGACTATGGTCGGGAGGCAAGCTTTAGGCACATCCGACACTACACACGGGGCAAACACACACACACACACACCTCTTCACCCGACGACGCTCGGAAATTCCGCGACCAACGACCCTCAGAGTCCAAGTAGCTCCCGGCCCCGCTCCACCCTCCGGCCGCAGATTCCCCGTTGCTGCTGCCCCCCCCCCTCGCCGCTGCGGAGCCCCCGCCACCGCCGCCGGCGTCATAAGAGCCATCTCGCCCGTGAGGTTCGGGAAAGCGCTCGGCAAAGTCGTACTCCACGATGCAGTTCGACGCCCCGCGGACGGCCTTGACGGTGCCGTGATAGCAGCGGCCGGCACCATGGTCCTCCTCCAGGAAGTGCCAGAGGGTCATGCCCACCCGGATGTCTGCTTCCACGCTGGGCTTCTCGCGGTAGACGGTCGGCGTGTAGACCACGCCGTCGAAATCCAGACCCTTCCCGTTGTGGACCGCCTTATCGAGAAGGCCAGAAAGATAAAGAAAAACACATTCTGCTGTCAACTGCACTGAGACTGACGTCAGTCCATCGGTCAGCCGGGTAGCGCGGTCGATGCAAATAATAGAACCACACACGTGTGGGGAAGAAGGAAATACACAGATGTACAACACCAGCAGCAGAGACCCGCCCACAGGAGGGAGAGCAACAGCAGTTTCGTGAAGGGTTGGGATATACCACTGCCATGTTCCAACCCCGGTGCCCCCAAGAACAATCCAGGGAGCGATGATCTAGAGCGGGAGCTTGGAAGGCACCAGCGAGGGCCTTGAGAAAGACGTTCTAGAGCAGCTCTGCCATGTTGTACCACCGAGACCTCTTTGCAGGTGGAAGCAAAGGGTGTTTGGTTCGAACAACTATGTCTTCTGCTGCTGTTGGTGCTGCTGTGCATCGAATTCGCCGCCAGTTCGAAGCGATAGGGATCTACTGAACCGTTAAGCCCTCAACAGGGTCAACCATAAGAGCAGGGCGACCCATCGACCCGTCCAACCAATACTCGAGATGCCGGTCCCCTCCCATCCCACGAAAAACCACCGGGTTTGCACCACGAAAAATCGTTGATAAGTGATCCTCAGAAGTACTTAAGACGGAGGCAAAAGGCCCACAGCAGTTCAACGTTGGCGGGCAAAAACGGCCATGAGAAAGTAACGTAAACACAGTATTCACCTCGAAGTCGGCGAGGTAGGTGCAGTAGGCGTCTTGCAGCCCAATGGCTTTCGAGTCGAAGCCCATCCTCTCCGCGAGAGCCACCCAGCCGCCATCGCGGGAGACGGCCTCGTGACCCCCCATCCTCTGGACCTCCTTGAAGAGGCGGAACATGTCCACCGGGCCACATCTACCAAGAGAGAGGGAGGCAGGCAGGGGAGACATGGAGGGAAAGAGGGGAGGAGGAAGGGAGAGGGATGGAGAGAGAGACGAAGAAAGAGAGACAGAGAGACGAGAGAGGACATATCGGCATCGGAGATAGTTGTCACCGAGGAATTTCAGTCGAAGGCGAAGACGAGGGACTACGACAAACATACGCCGAGTTGCCAATCATTGGGGCGCTTCGATACTTCATTCTCACCTGGACTTCACCCCACAGCTGCAGCGGTAAAAGTAGTGTCTCTATCTGCAGTGTCACTACCACCTCGGGTATACAAGAACAACCGGCATTCCTCCTGCGTGAACCCACCCGACTTGTGCGCCCAGAAAAGGGTGTGCGTCAAGACTCACATCCAGGTATTGAAAGGAGATGAGACGATACACACAAACATAAACTTCTGCACGTTTGACAAAAATAAAACGACAGGCCCATTTGGTCCAAACCCAACGCACCCGTTGCTACTGTGGTGGCTGTCAATGAACACCTTTCCCCCGCGGGCAGCCTCCATCGGCTTCCCAATCAGGAACAGAAATTTCCGCAGGTTCTCGGTGAACTTTCGTCTCAGCCGCTGCCCACCCGCCAACTTTCCCTGCTTATCGAGGGGGTGTACACATGAGGCGGGGACGCACGGCGGCGCCGGGTGGATTGGCTGGAAGCTCGCGTGTGTCATTGTTGCTGGCAGCGACCGAGCTAACCGGCTAACCAGTGAAAATACGTCGGTGTCAGTGCGGCTGAGAGGACATGTTTCTGAATTGGTCGCCCGTGAGGGGGGCGTCGTGGGGGAGGCCAGAAAACATTTACCGGATCAACTACGGCAACGGCATCTAGCGACAGAATGGTCGTGTGTTTGTGTGCCAAACAATGCGTCTTGAGACGCAACCCGTGCGATGCATGCATCAGAGGGGCGCTAGCCGTTGCGTGAGGTACGCCAGGGGACCAAAAGTACAAACATGGAGTGAGACACGGCTCTTTCACCAAGAGCTCATCATCTGGTGGGTACAACAAGCTTCCCATGTCCAGACAATTATCAGATGTTTACAGTAGCTCTCCCTCGTGCGCTGCAATGCGCTGCCATGCCGCACAATTTAGAACCTGCTAATTTCCTGCGCTCTCGGTTTGTATCCTAATAGCTGGACGTATACAGGAGCTTCACGAAACATGAGTTCCGGGAGAAGAAACAACGAAAAAATGGGTAGCGCTATCATAGGCAGCCACAGATCACATGCAATTTGCATGTGTGCGCATACCACGCATGTATCCGACCATCAACGTTGAGGGAACAATTGAGGACGGAAGGAGGGAGGGGGGGGAACCCAAGCATGCCGGATAAACGCGCCGGTCATGTCTGTGGTGCGCGCCGGTCCAAGGAGGCAGCAGCTCTTGCCCACTAAACAGGAGAGCCATACAAGCGCTTCTGTTTTTGTTTTCTCTGGGAAACAGGCGGCTAAATTCATGCATTTACCCCACGGTAAACGGGCGCTGTCAAGGGCGGTGCAACGGCAGGTGGTGGAAGTGGCACGAGGTGGGGCAATGGGCCCACGAGTCTGTGGCATACCAGGAACCGGTGTACATGTAACAGGGTATGCATACGGACTGATGATTACACAATACCGGAGCGTTTGGGGCGGCGAGGAATGGCTGACAAACTTCAAGGAGATGCGGGTCAGACTAGGTGAATCACGCTACCACGTGTACGTATGATACGCGTAATACGGCGGGACACTGCTGTACCAACAATGGAACAAATCTCAGTTCACGCCACGCCAATATTCCCGGCCTTCGCATTCAATACAGCCTGCACTCGTTGGCATCAACAAGAGAGTCTTGGGAGTGAGTGGTATCAGTATCAGGCTTGCGACACAAGAAAAATTACTGCTGTGGTCAGCCCGATCATGCGTTTTGGTTTTGTTCTTCATTTGCCATCAGATCCAACAACCCCATCGTCCCCCCTCCTAGCATAGCCTCACCCACCTCGAGCCTCCATGCTACTAGATGCTCGTGGCGGGGTATGTATATCAGGCAGGCGTGGTTGGTACACGTGTGCATACAAACCCCACGTGTGTGTTTTTATTATTAGCATCAAACCCCACGTGTGTGTGTGTGTGTGTGTGTCAACACCTATAGTTGGGAACGCGCCATGGACGTACGGAATGTCCACAAAACCACATCATCGGTGGACGGGTGGGTATCCAGGGCTTGAGTTAACCATACCATACCACCCATCCCGAGATCGACATGCATCAAGCCATTTCAGTCGACAAGACATGTTCGTACGCTAGTGCCCCGGGTGTAGATACCATGGATGCGTCGCAGTACAGCGCGGTAACAATCAAGCTGCTGTTGGTACGGACGTGCTGCTGGAGCCCTGCACTTGCACTTGAACAAATATTGGACCGACCAACCAAAACGAGCTTCATTCTTTTTCCTCTTCCCCCCAAAACCTAGCGTTTCGGGGGGAGCTACGTAGAGAGATAGGGGTGGTGGGAAACGCAACTAGTAAAGGCTCTATCGAGGTGTTACGTAGCGTGTAAATCTCCCTCTGTCGTTGCTCGAAAAACTCCTGACCGTACCGCTGCAGCTCTAGGAGAACATGCGACCGCAGGCCCGTGGGTTCTCTAATTCTGATTCTCCACCCAAAACGTTGTTGGTGTATTTCTCTTCGACCGAAAAAAGAATGGACGGCGGCCAAGAGAGAGACAGGCCTCTCGTGATGACGCTGTGCAGCTTTTCGCAAGCGCTACAACTGCTGTACTCTCTCTGTACCACTGCTCTAGCTGTGATGCTGGTCCATGTGTGTGGAGTATTACGGCCAGCAGGTCATTGGAAGCAAACTTACCAGATCCTGCTCCTTTGTCGCGAATTTGAGCTTGTCCGGCTTGTGAGCGAAGGCTGGCTTCCAGCCTGGCGGCGGGCAGATTCGACATATCCCGTACCGCTCCGCCTCGGGCCTGATTGAGGCGATGAACTCCAGAGGCTCGGCGAACTGCGCGGTGGTCGGGTAGTAGCAGGGCGCCTCGTCCACGCCTTCCAGTTTAGCCTCCCCGCTGTCCACGGCGGTAGCGTCCATGCTGCACTCAGCAGCAGAGGCCGAAGATGATTGCTGTGGTTGCATGAAGATGGCACGCTGGGAAAAAATGCCAGCAGCGGTAGAAGACCAACACGTGCTGTCACTGCTGCTACCAAGCCTGCGTGTGAGCACGAAACAGAATCAGGGGCAGGATTTTCCCGCTGCCCAAGACAGGTCGGACCTGCACTGCTGTTTACCGTACCCCCCGCCCCTTCTTAACGCAGGTGTCAAGCTGTTGTTGAGCCGAACCGTCGAGGGGTCGGGGATGCCTGCCTCAGTTCTCGATAACGCTACCTGAGACGTTTGAAACCTTTTCCGCGCTGCTTGTGTGCTAGGAGTATTACAGCAGGAGCTGCTGAATTGCTAACTTGCACACGAGCAGCTCGCGCACTTCACGCAGGTCGTGGAACCGCGCGCGCTCAGGATGGCCTCGAGAACCGTGGCTGCGATGATCTGTGCGTTCGCGCCTTGCTCTGGCTTCTTGGGCCCCGTGCAGCTGCCGGGGCCATCTGCGGGTGAGTGTTTTCACGAAGCTATGCTGCTTGCCCTGGATGATGTGTAATGCGGGCTCCGCCGAGCTGTTGTTGCCGGACTGCTCTAAGGCTGATGGGGGTTCTGTAGCCCCCCTCCTCCCTTGTGCACCCTGCGACATCCCGCAGCAGGCTTGTCTGTTGACTGGCGTGGCTGTGTGTGGTCCTTGCGCTTGCCTTGCATGTGGCGGGCGTTGCTGCCGGTGTTTCAGTTACGGCGCTGCACAGCAGCTCCCACGTCATCTGCAACAACTCTGCGCCGTCCTCCCTCGCCTCAACAAGCGCTCCCTGTGTGCCCTGTGAAGGGTAGCATAGCCCATGCAGAGCGTGCTCTCTCCCTCCCACGCAGCCAGAGTACAGCGCATTCATTGTCACTCGCTACTGCTGTTACGGTACATGGCTGCTGCCGTTCATGAACCCGCTCTCTCTTACTCTCTTTAGCATGTGAACACGTGCGTTGCTTCCTAAAGTATGAACACACACAGCTACAACCACATCTGTTTTCTTCGCCTAGCGTCACCCTGTTCTTCAACTACGTGCTTACTGTTCTCGCCCCTTCAACGGGGTTTATGCTGCTATCTCGCAGCCTGCTTTGCCCAGGGAAAACAGCGCACCCCGCTGTTATGTGCCCTGACACACGCACACGACAAGTCTGTACCGCCGTTTGGTGTGTCTGGCAGTGCTGCTACTTACTCTGCTGATGGGCTTGATACGTACGGTCGGCAGTTGAAGGCTAAACTTGTACAAGCGACTTGTTGGTACCCGGAAGACTTCCAAGCGCGCGCTGCTTTTGTAGGAGAGAAGCCACTTTCGGTGTTTTCATCGCTTGTGCCCCACGGTAGACCACACGTTAAGCGGACTCATGAGTGCTTCGGAGATTACGGCGTGAGATCAGCTCCCAACCTACCTACAACCCCAAACTAATCTGGTGGCAAACGACAACCTGCGTAGACTACTGCGGACTGCCCAAATGACGGCAGTTGTCAATGGATCGCAAGGACGAAAAGGAGGAGTACCCACCTACCATGTATATGCAGCAAGATGAAAGCAAGGCTAGAGACAAGGGTGTCGAAGAACGTAAGGGGTCCGATCCTTCCGATCTTCACAGCAGGGAGGGTCGCAAGCAAGATTTACGGGATGTGATGAGAGCAACAGCAGATCTCTCCCACACGCAAAGTAAAGCCGGATAGAAAAAAACCCAGCACAGGGCAGCAATGATGCTTCTAGCATGGCCGGAAGATGTGATGCAGCATCACATCTGCCTGGTGGTACTGAGTCTTCCCCTTGGTACTTGATAGGCAGGGCCCGACAGCGTTGGTGCAACTCCTGCTCCACCACCCCTGTCGGAAACGCGTTCATTTGAAAAGCGTGTTCGCGCGTTCTTTATCCCGCTTTTAAGACTTGACATCTTGTCATTGGTCAGCCGGCTGGCGCGGCCGATGCCCATCAAGAACTCAATCACACGTCCCTGGTGCTGTATGGATCGCGTGGGATCCCTTGATCATGAGGCGTCTTACACGTGCAAGAGCAAGAACGGCTTGTCAACACTCCTGTATTGTATCTCATACGCACTGCTCGAAGACTGGCGTGTTCTCACGTGGTCAGCCGGTTAGCGCGGCCAACGCGTCGTGGAGAAACACACACCGGGGATCTGGATCCATCAGATCTGGATTGCAACCGTCACCGAGATCGACCAGCTGCCCGAGCTGGGACTGACCAATCCGAGTCTTCCCAACGCCAATTAAGCCGTGCGTCAACAATGCTGTCCCCACCTCCTACGCTACGTCTGTACGTCCCGATGAACGAACGACTGCTGCGCCCCGATAAATTCCAAAAATGCGGCCCAACTCCAGCACGACAATTTTGTCGCGAGCGGATGCGCAACACGGGCATCCTTCGCGCTGCCGGTAGCCCAAAGAATGGCCGCGCCGTGCATCGGGGCGTGGTGCATATATTTTCTAGAGTTGGGGTGCTATTTTTTCGGAGCCGGTAGCGGCGAAGTCCATATGCGGCCTAACTACCACACGGAAGAGGCATCACGACCGGATGTACATACGACACGTGCATCCTTCGGGCTGTCATGGCCGTGTCGTACAGCTGATCGTGATGTGTTTTGTCATGCTGGAGTTGGACGCATTTCTTGTTCCGTAGTTTTGTCGCGTCGAAGTCCAAATGCGTCCCAACTCCATCACGAACGAACAAAGGCATCACGACCGGATGTACGACACGGGCATCATCCTTTGGGCGGCTGGGCCAAGTTGCCCAGTGCTGCGCCGAGAGGCATGAACAAGCCGGGTGAGAGGAATCGAGAAAGGGTGGGCCACAAGAGGTTATCAAAATCAATCGCTCACCTGAGTACCAATGGCGATGCTGGTCAACAGATTCCTCTTGGCTGGCGAGCAGCAAGGCGCCAGCCAAGAAGAATCTGTTGACCAGCATCGCCATTGGTACTCAGGTGAGCGATTGATTTTGATAACCTCTTGTGGCCCACCCTTTCTCGATTCCTCTCACCCGGCCTGTATAGCAGTCTCTCTGGCACACGCCATCGCCGGGTGCCGTACCTACGCACATCACGTAGCTTGAGTGGTCGTATTCATCTTGGTTGTCGACTCGCCGCAGGCTTATGCCTCTCGGCGCAAACTTGGCCCGGCAGCCTGAAGGATGCCCCTTGCCACGCGTCCGGACGTGATGTGCCGGGGCTGGGACGCCGTGCTGTCGAGGCACAGCAGTCGGTCATTGCGAGTAAATCCTATGGGCTGTGGGGACAGCGTTGAGGCACGGCTTGTTGGCGTTGAAAAACACTCGGATTGGTGAGCTCGGGCAGCTCTGGCGCGGTGCCGTCCCGTGACTGACCCGATGACCTCGTGCGCGCGAAAGAGAGACACCCGCCACAGCGGCGGCAGGCACACCCTTTCCTCGAGAAGGCTTTGACGAGGGCGAGGAAGCAGGCGCCTTTGCGTTGGCAGAGCTCAGGGGGCGACGCAACAGTAGTGCCAGAAGGAGGGGCTGACGGCACCGCCGCTCTCGGCTTCCCCCTGAGCCTTGCGTGTGCCGTATCAATCAACGCCGCACGCAAGACGTGATCGCGCACTACGTTTGCTGCCATACTACACACACATGCCAACCAATCAAGGCTGAACATGCAACGTGATTACGCACTGATTTTGCTGATAAACATGCGTGCGCTTGCTCCCGGCACCGTCGTGGATTGCCGCGCAGGGGCACCGTCGCTGCACGCGCCCGGCAAACCCGCCGCGGCCCCCGCCCCCGCCGCCGCAAGGTCTTGCCGGGTGCTGTTGTCACGGCATGGAGGCGGGAATGGAGCGGGGACGTTCGCTTCGCAGCCCCGGGCGGGCAGGCGATTACCATACCACACGTCTTCGGTCGGGAGGCTGGCGATGATGATGATGGCTGCTGCGGGGGAAGGGGGGGGTTGCGAGATGGAGGGGGAGGTTGTTGGTGACGGTGCAGGTGGGCAAAGGGCTTTGGGATGCGAGTCCAACCTTGTTGTTTTGTATTGTCGTGGTGATGGCAGCGGTCCATCCATCGTCGTTGACGGTGGTGCTGGGGCTGGGGGAGGGGGGGGTACGGAGTTCTTGTTGTTGCTCTATTAGTGTCTTTGCCGCGCTGCTGACGGGAAATTTGCCGACGGTGTCCATACCGCATAGAAAAGAGACAGGATGGGAAGGGGCCATTGCGTGTTGCCCGTGCTTTCGTGGAGGGGGTGGGCGCATGCGAAGATAGGCCCACGGCCCCACCAAACCAGCATTGATTTTCAGGCGAAGGAGATTTTAGACGGTTACCCTCTCTCCACCCTACCCCCTTGTATTCCCTGGCCAGCGGAACTACAGGGATAAGGAGTATTACTGCCACACGCCTGGGAAGCTGTACACCTTGTCAGTAGAAAGTTTCCGTGGATTGGATTTGGCCGTATACATATCAGGGCACGCCTACCCGCCTCTGTGCGTGCTGTGTATCCGTTTGTACATACCCCTCCCTCCAGGCGAGAAGTGATCGTAAAGAATGCATAAGAAGGAACGATTGGCCATCGGCGATCGGTCCTGCAGGACCAACAAATGCTCCGTCCTCTCGAGAGTACGTGCGGTATCTCACAGCTGAGGCATGCAAAATATGAGTACACCCCCCCGTCGTGAAGCATCTAAGCAGATTATTCTCCAAGCGTAGAGTATCACGCACGAGGCGACGTGTTGTCCTGGACCGCCGGCATATCACTCCTTCCCAACATTGAAGGGACTCAAGGTCTGCCATCGAGTCGGCAAGCATTTACATGAGTCCCCCCCCCCCTACGGAAACATCGTCGCCGTCTGTCAGAGTCCGCGCCAGTCGCTCGAACAGAAGATGAAGGCGCTAGGGATGCCGGCGGGACAGAAGCCGACCAACCAGCACCTGTCCCTGCGAGCAGCGAGGAACAAGGCGGTGGCGTGCGAAGCAGCATCAGCAGCGCGAGCAGTAGCGTTCCTGGTAGCGGGGACCCCGTGGAGGAGGTGGGGGGCAGGGGAATCATCGGTAGGCGAAGAGAGGTGCCGCTGACGGAGAGGGAAGGGTTTGCCGTGGTGAAGAAGGTGCTGCCGGGGGGTGGGGAGGGGCTGGAGATGGACCTGGAAGGTTTGCGGAATATGCGCTCCAACGTCAACAAGGTGCGTGTGCTACGTGGATGGATTCGCGTTATGACTGGGCGAGTGCGCGTGGGTTGTGTAAGCTGTTTTGTCAAGCTCCGGCCCGCTTCGCTTGCACCGGTGACTTTTTCGGCTGACCAAAGGAAATGGGTCACAGCCGTCTCAGAGAGATGAAATTGGGCCGTATGGGTGTGTTTTTGTTACTAGCATCGACAGGCTGACCTATGAAAATACATCAGAAGTGTCAGTGCGGCTGACAGCAGAAAATGCGTCTCAAGGCCGTGATCTCGGACCCCGTATGTGTGCGTGTGTGTATCTTCCAATAAATTGCAATGCGTGTCACATGGGAGAACTGTAGGGAAGTCCTGGCGTTTTCGTCCAGACGAATCCGTATGCACCAATGAGTCATGTCCAGTTCTCGGAAGTCTGAGAAGTCAACTCTGCCCAATGCATGCGATAGACAACAACCCTGGCGGGATCCTTGCTGTTGCTGTTGTTGTTGTTGTTGTTTCTCACATTAGCTCTATAGTCCACAAAAAATGGGAAGCCCGTGGTCTCAAAACCCGGCACATACGACGCCGCGAGAAAACAAAAAAAAACAAAAATAGGGTACAAACACAAACCACTCGGAAAAAGAAAACAAAATGATAGAAAGAAAAGAACAGGTATCGCAGCGACCGTTCGAGAAAAGAGCCCTCGGACACCGATCAAATTAAAACAAAAGAAAAATGAAGGAGGACGCTTCCCACACCCGCCGAAAGAAAAAATCAAAGGGTAACGTACCAGCACCAGGCACCACGCACCAGGGCTGTATGTATGAATGATTCTCATCTCGCCAAAAATCCGGCTTCACGGCCGACGAGGGAAAAGGAACGGCTTGACCCTTTCCCGCGGTAGAAGTTGAGGCAAGCGCCTCGGAACGAAGGCGGAGAAGAAAATTTTGTATTGCGTTGCTTCCTCTGTTGTAACCATGGCTGGTGCGTCGAGGAGCTAAGGTTAAGGTGTCTTGACGTCCAAGAGTAACGGAGAAAATGACATGTCGACTATTGACCGCATCCCTACCCTACTTCACATACAGCGGTACCATCGAACCTCCGTTCAGGAGGCACATTTTATGGACGTTCCTTTCATGTAGCACGGGCGGAGTTCTTTTTCAGAAGCAGGGGGCACGCAGATTATACACGATCACGTGGAGTAATTGGGGTACTGTGCATCTCACGAGCCTCCTCTCTCTTTCGCGATGTTCGGCGTGTTTTTTCTCGGTCAGTCCCCTCCGTTAACAAGGATGCCTCAAAGTTGAAAGTCATGTGAATATCTTTATTTATTGTATCTTCTTTATAGTAGGGGTTCGACTTCAGCAATCGCAGCCCCTCGACAGGGCGGGGACCCGATGTAGTGGAAGGGGTGTACTCGTAGTCGTGCATGCCGTCGTTAGACCATTGACCTCGCATCCCTACAAAGCCGGGACGGAGCACGCCGGGTTCTCACCGGACCAGGCTCTCACATCACCAAGCGCGAAGCGCCGTGAGACATTCGGCGAGTCGCTTGAAGGGTGCGCTGCATCCTGCTAAGGGT